AATCAGAAGAAATGAATAGATGTTTGAGCAGTAAACATGTTTGATAGCAGGAGTTGAGTTTATGAAGCTTACATTAAAATTAATAAGTCCAGGGCTGGTGAGATGGCTCAGTGGTCTGAAGCACCTACTTAGAACAAGCTTAGCAAAGCACAGAGACTGCGGTTCAATCCCCAGCACCACATGCCAGCCAGCCCCACCCCCTGGTGGGCTGAGCTGGCCACACACACACATAAATAAATAAAATTTAAAAAAAAATTAATAGGTCCAGGGATATAGCTCAGCATCATAAGCACCTGCCTGGCAAGCGCAACATCCTAAGTTCAATCCCCAATACCACAATAAATAAATTAATTTTTTTAAAAATAAAAGCAAAATTAATAGTGAAGCTCTTAGAATGTAAGACTTAAGATGCAACAGACTACAACACTACTCAAGTTATGTTACATAAAAGTTGCTGAGAATTTTTTATATTAGTACATTTTTGGTAATAACTTGTAAATAAAATTGTGGGTAAGCACACATCTAACCCTAAATTTATGAATGGACACATTTTCAATCAATATCATAAACATGAAAGCATAGTCTCAGGCAGACTGCTTCAGATTTTGTTTTAAATAATTGACACTGTTATAAACAGACCTCTTAATGTTACTAACTACAGAATAAACCTATGCTCCCTGGCATGTGTCTGTGGCCTCCATGCCTGGTCTGGCTGCCTTTTCTCCTCATTCCACTCTGCATAACCTCTCTTCAGAGCCCCGTCTCATGTTATAAGTCTTCACTATAGAGTTGGTACAAAATGTTTTCCGCTCTTCTGTTGTTATTTAGACTTGGTGCGTATCTCTCTCATGAAGAACCTATCTAAATAGTGTTTTGCTCATTCTAACTATGCATAGTAAAAGTGCAGAATTTAAACGCAGTAAATAAACACTAAGTGAATCACTTTGCTAATTCCACTATTGTTCCTTGATGTGTTTGTTTTTCTGTCAGTTCTCCTTTTTTGTCTCTGGACAACAGATTGGTTAGCAAAAAGCTAAGAGCAAACAAGAATGGAAACAATGCTGGATCTACAATCCAATAATCTTCCTGAATTGTGAGGAGCAAAATCTTTGTTGGGGGAAAACATCCCAACATTTAAAAAAGCATTTTGACCCGTGACCTTAGAGTAGGTTCCTGTGGACATAAGACCTCTAGAGGGCTTCTGGACTCAGGAGACGAGGCAAGCCGTAGAACCTCGGGAGACTCCAGTTTCAGCCAAAGGTCCTGCCCTGTGACTGAAGACGAGGCCAGGGTGAGAGTCTTCATTAACTTGGCAAATCTCTGTGGAAGGTGAGCCCTCCTCCATGAAGGCCAGGCTTTGTAACTGCTTCACTGCTTTCTCCCTCACTTCTGGTGTTATATTTTACACAAAGTAGCTGTGCAGGGAGTACTTTTTCAGAGTCTTGTGCTGGGCATGGAATCTTTGTCCTCAAGAAGCTCATAGTCTAATTGGGATAAAGATATCCAAATTATAATTATAATAGATGAAGTGTAAGAATCAATACGTCCGTAATACTATTACAAGCACTAACCATGTCCAGGCAGGGTTCTCAGTGTCTCATTGCTGTAGTCTGACTGCTTGTGCTTCCCCAAACTTGAAACATTAAGTCCCTAACACCCCCACAGTGCAGTTAGAAACTGGAGCCTTTGGGAAGTGATTACTTGTGGGGATGAAGCTGTCACAGAAGGAACTAAGGTTCTTATTCTTAAAAGGCCCGAGGCAGCTTGTGTTAGACAGCTTTCCACTGCAATAACAAAATATCTGGAGTCAAGTCAAATTAAAAAGTGGAAAATTTTATTTAGGCTCGTGGTCTCAGAGGTGCAACCTGTGTCAGCTGGCTCCACTGCTGCTGGGGTCCTGGTGAGGCAGAGCATCATGGGGCATGGGTGGGGCAAAGCTGTTCAGCACATGGTGGCTGGACAGCAGAAAGAGAAGGGGCTGCCCACTCCACATTCCCTTTAGGCACATGCACCCTAATGAGCAAGCATCCTTCCCCCAGGCCTCACTTCTTGAAAGTCCCACCAAAGACTGGCAAGCAAGCCTTTAATGCAAGTGCCTTTGTAGGGCTTGTAAGATCCAAACCATAATGGAGCCTTTCAGTCCCTTCCACCTTGTGAGGACACAGCTAGCAGGTGCCATCTGCGCCAGAAGCAGGACTTTCACCAGACACTATTTCTGCTGGCATCATGACCTTACACTTTCCATCATTTCCAAAACTGTGAAGAAAGAATGCTGTTGTTACAATAGTCTGTACAGAAGGCACTTATATTTATCAAATCAGCTAATCCTCACAACACTGAGAGGTTGGCACTATCATTATTTCAATCTTTGAAGGAAACAATAAGGGAAGAAACATGTCTGATATCCTGCAGATACCACCAGGATATTGGGAAGTGGAGAGCAGGCCCTAAAGCCCAGCAACCTGCCTCCAGGGTCCCTGAAAGGAAGGAGCAGTGCAGACCCCAGCTGACGAACCAGTCTGACTCCACTGAAGTTTCCCCTAGGTCTGGAATCCCAGAGGATGGGATCACTGGTGACAGTAAAGCAGGGACCATGGGGGGAATTCAGAATACAGTGGTGCACCTCAAATTGGGGGTGCCCCAGATCCTCTGAAAAGATCCAGGATCCAGTCATGGGGTTCTTCAACCAATAAAATTACATTGTCTTAATATTGGAGGTGTCATTAATGAGTGTCTAAGTGGTGCTTCAGGTCATGTCTTGAAAACCCAGAGCTGGAGCTGTTCTCCAGGGGACCCCTCAGGCTCAGTGCTCTCTGTTCATGCCCAGCTCTCCTCTGTCCTGGTCCACTAAGGATGCTGTGACAACGCAGTGCAGGGGGTGTCATCCCACCATCTTCAATATTTCGGATGGCAGGCATTGGCACCCCTACTCAGGACAGTGATGGTCTCCATGCTTTTATCCTTCTTTAATCTGTCTCCTCTCGAGGCCAAAGTCTGTATCACCCTCCACTTCACAAGCCTGACTCCTCACTGGGTGTATCAGAAAATGTCTACAACATGAGCCAGGCCCATCCTCTAAGACCGACGGCCAGCCCTGTTTTTGAGAAGCTCACCGTTGTGTAAAGGATAGTTACCTGAATAAGCTGCAAGGTGAGGTAATAGGTAGCTATAAATTTACAAGTATGAGCAGCATGTTGTGAGTTCCTAGGCACCAACAGATAATGCTGCGCAGGTAGACGTACGTGGGAACTCATGCTAGAAAAGTACCTTAGGAGCTGTCAGGGCTGATTTGTGCCCTCCCCAAAATTCAGGTTGAAATCCTAACCCCTAATTCTGTACTTCACAATAGTACTCAACCTGGACTTGTCTTTTAAAAGGGTTTGAAGTTAAATGAGATCCTCGGGATGGTCCCTAATCAAGTGTAACTGCTGTTCCAATAGGAAATTACAAGGCCGTGGGAGAGGGAGCTAGGCCTCTCCTTTCAAGCCAAGAGGAGAGGAGAGGCCTCAGAAGAAAGCAATATGCTTCGAAAAGATTAATTTCTTAGTCTTAGTCCCCTGGTAATTTGTTATGGCAGCCCTCAAAACCTCACAGACAAGCGGATCGTCAAACTACGGAGATTAAATGTTATCCTCTGAGCTTCTGGAAACCCACAGACCTGTCTAAACAGCTTCGGTTCCAGAATATAATCTGGAAACAGTGAGAACATAGAAAAGGGAACCTGGGCTCCAATGTGGGATGATGCACCCAGGCAAACGCTGGCCCGCGGGAGTGAAAAGTACAAAGTCCATCAGGGCAACATCTGTAGGCAGAACGAAGGGAGTGAGGAGTGCAGAGACAGGTGGAAAACAAGCAAATGGGCAGGCTGTCAGGCCGCCCCAATCTCAGCAGCGACGCTGGAGGTGACAAGGGGAGGAGAGGGGAAAACAAGACTTTGTTGCGCTTGGAGCAGGCTGCAGAGCATCAGTTGGATGTGGCAGCCAGGGGGAAATAAAGCTCTAGGATCAGGGCCTGAACTGTGGCCCGGGCTGGGGAGGATATGAGCTGGTAGAAGTTCCAGCCATCTGCGAAGCCCCAGGTCCAATGCTCTGAAGCCCATGGGGTGGACAGCGGAGACAGCAAGTCACTGTGGGCTGGGTGCAGGGGGAGGCGGTGCAAGTCAGCCCAGGTTTGTCTGTGGGAAGGGTGTCTTAGCTCACCGGGCAGATCTCCGCTCACCTAACTTCACTGACGCACACCCTTCCACGGAAAGCTCTTTCTGTCGTCCCGCTTTGGTAAATCGAGGCACGAGTGGTTGGGGGTTAACCCGGACCCAAGCACTATCTCTAGGACCCAGCGCCCCGCGGACACAGTCCTGAGCTGTGCACCGGCAGAGCGCTGGCGCTCGCTGGGCTCTGGCTCTGCGCGGCGGGTGCAGCAGGGGCG